TTTTGGTGATCTTGGGTGTTAATGGCAAGCGAAACATTTGGGCGAAGACGATGATGAAGTTCTGGAGTTGATGATGATTATGTTTATGATGATGCTGATGGAGGGCCACGCACGTACTGGCATGGGCATGGAAGTGCCCGTGGCAGGCGATCATAATGAGTCGTGAGCCCCGACGCCTGAATGACGGCATTCGGCGATATGGCGAATAGTATGTGCAGACGCTCAATATATATAAAGATCAGTAAATACACTAAGCGAAAGAAAAGAGGAGAAAAGACTGCCATGTCCATAGAGGAATCAATTCTTTGTTGGAAGGCACAATATATGGTATATACAAAGATACATTATTTTCTTGTTTTCTTTTTGCACAAAATAAGCTCTTAAGCATGGAACTCAACTCTGCTCCTGAATTGAATCTGAAGCATAGCATTATTTGATTGAGAAGGAAATACGAGCCCTAACCATTATTAATTGGTACAGCAAGGTTTTTTTTTCGATAGATCAACTTTCAATAACTTATGTTTATTTGTAAGTGATGATTGCACAAACAAATTTATACTTTTTAAAAAGGCCATTGAATTACCTTTAATTTCATATCAAACAAATTTAAAAACTCAATTTAAATAGGACAACTGTCATAATTCACAAAATATTTTGACCATTTTATTAATTGGTACGGCAACATTATTTATTCATAAAAACTGAGTAACATCCCCTTTATTTTTAATAACACCCTTAACACCCTCTTCTCCATGGTATTTACTAGCTTTAGGCATTCTTCTGGAGTTATGGTATCCCAAATTTCCTGAATTTTTGATTTTAGTCCAGAGAGAGTACACAGAAAATATTTGCTTCCATATGTTTCTTACAGTGTACGCGCAGTAGGATTTTATAGTAATTTTGTATTTGGCTGGGCGGCAGTCGTCTGTTTATATCTGTTTATGTTTATGCAAATTTTTGGCGCCCATGCGTCCACATAACCGTGCCACAAACGCATTGTAAGTATTAGACCCGCCTCCATCGCCAGTCGAAATGTTCATTAATATCGTTGATGTTGCTGTTCTTGTTGTTGTTGTTGGTGTAGGCGCCACCCACCCACTCAGTACCAGGCATAGGCACTGCCAGAAACATAGACATGGATATGGACGACTACGAAATGGCAACATAACCTTCTATTTTGTAAACTGACCGTTTGGATGCGGCAAAGGCAAATCGTTTGGATGACGTTGACGCTTTGTTGTCATCTTTATTTATAGAATTCGCCCGATGTATATACATGTGAGTGTGTGTATCATAAATTAATCTATTTCATTTGCCTCTATTTTTTTGCTCTTTCATTTTTTGCATTTAAATTCTTGCTATAAAAAATAGTTGTATCAAAACTATTTTGTTTACTTTTAATTTGATGCTCGACGTGGTTCCTCTACCCTTCCCAGCGCCCCCACTTTTTATGTTGTGTGGTCAAATTATTCAACATTTATCGCTATGGCATTAATAATGCCAATTTCGATTGTGTACATACTACACATTCGAAGCTGTAAGAAATTGGAATTGTACGGCAGAGTTGGAGGCTCGAAACAATGTGTTGGTTCGGAGCAATTTCGTTTCTACTGCCTTCTGGGTATTTTAGTAAAAATTCTTCTAGTAGTTTACGGGCTCTTTGTTTATTAAACAAACATGAACAGGAGTGTGAAAGATGAAAGATGAAAGACACATACCCGCAAAATAGGGAATTTTTATGATACTGATATACAAATATTTTGCAATATTTAAAAATGTACAAGAGTTTTATGGTATTCATATGGAAGCGTTAACTTCTTGAGGTTGGAAAATGATTAAAAATAATTCAGAAAAATTTCAATTTTAGAGAATATAGATGCCCTAATGTTGCTAAATATAATCATGAAGGCAAGAATTCTTTTGATTATTATAAACATGTATAAAAGATTAGAATTTATATCGTTTTTAAAATCAAATGAGACCGAAGAAGGGGAAACATGGTAATCAAGTTAAACAGTATTGGCTTTAATGTGGCATCGTTGGCATATGTATATACCAACGGAATTCAATTGATTAATATAAATGGTTGAATTAGAACTGCCATTTAAATAATATAAGTAGTTTTTGTAATTTACACTAAAATAGTAACAGGATATTGGAAAATAATTCTAATTATATATTTGCCTTTTAAAATTAGAAGGATTATTGATTGCATATTGGCATTTGAATTTTATACTTTTATACTTAAATTGCGTGTTGGACAGTGTTATATTGTATGATTATTGTGAAAGGCATTAAGATGTTGACTTTTCTGAAATAACTGCAATGTCGCATATCGTCCACTTCAATGTCTCTGTCAATAAATATTTTTATGTTGACATGTTTGTCGGCCAGACAAACGCAGTTGACAATTAGCTTTAATATTGCATACAATGATCTTTATAAATCAAATATATCGCCGCCGCACAAGTGTCATTCAGAAAAACTAGTGTCTGTACACTCTTGTTGTTTTTTAAGCAATAACTTTTAATGATTTGTGTGTGTATGGAATACAAATAAAAAACTTCGAACAGGAAATCCAAGTGCAGAAAGAAACATGAGTAGACATTTTTGATTGACCTATTTATTGCAAATATAAATCCAAGAGCAAACATTTTGAAAATATTCACATGCTTCTAACAGAGATACAACATATTGATAAGGAAGTGTTCAGTTATATTCTACTTAATTATTGTTGTCTTAATTATTTCTGAATAAATTCAGCATCTTGAGTTACTATGTATTCCAGTGTAGAAGATTTTTATCGACACAGTTGTTTAAGCGTTTGCGTCTCACTATAATAACGAATGATATCTTTGTACCATATTATAAATATAAATAAACGTTTAACAATTTTAATGCATTTATTTATTGTTAAATATGCCCTATATTTGTGTGATTGCTAGAGCTACAAATAATTCACCGACGAACTAAAAAGCTCAGTAATTTCTGAGAAATATAAACTGCAATTTTTTCCATCTTGTGTAATTTGCTAAAATCTGGCATTCATTTATTAATAGAAAACATCCAGAAAAACAAATAGAGGGGCAACCTGCCTTCCTTAAATAAATAAAGTGTAACAGATACACCTGAGAGTATTTACACAGATTAGATCGCGCAATTGCCTGTAAAGACAACAACAACAGATATAAAGAAAATACTAGACTAGACTACAACTGCAAACGCCATGTGAGCAATCGCTGAGACACCGCGACGTATACGTAATGTCGTATAAATATACAACGATGCAGAGGCGAAGGCGGCAACGTCACCGCCATTCGATTGCATCATTTATTTGTAGAATCAGGTGAGCAATTTTTGCTCTCTGTAATTCTGTGAGCTGTTTTTCATTAACTTGCCAACAAAAACAAGAAAAACAACAGCCGGCTGGTTGGCTAGCTGGCTAGCTGGCTGACTAAGCCTCTTGGTCATGTAAATAAAGACAAAAAATAGAAAAGAAAAGCTGGCTGCTTGGCTGGCACGCATTTAGTGTCAGAAATGTGGCGCACGGGGTTACAAGCGCCGGCGCAGCGACAAAAACCGCAAATTGTTTACATACTTGCATATACAAATATAGTTGTCTAACTATACATATAGTATATGTATGCATATATATATGTTTGTATGTAGTTGGAAAAGCTCGCAACATGTTGAGTGAAAGCGGTAGCATTTCTTAACATTTCTCTTGCCAAAAAATAAAAAAGTAAGAATGAAATGAAACAACATGGCATGGCCATACTATACATAACATTTGTTTAGATAAACATAAATTAGTTTCGCGCCCAACAGCGCATTTGCACTAACGAGCTCATAAATTAGTGGACCCCAGTTGCTGATCTAACGCAGATGTGTAGCAAAAGTTTGCAAACATAAGAAACCGCGTGGCTTAGGCCTTAGATAAAAAGCAGAGGAGATGCCACAAATGGGTCAAAAACTATAAATTTTAATGTCTTTATAAATAAACAACTAATTATATGTGTATACATATTTACAAAAATTAAAATTAATAAAATCAAACCATTTTATAAATAAATCAAGACAATATTGACGTGACGCGCATTTAACAAGTAATTAAAAACAGTCCGAAATACACTCCCCAAAATGTTGTTCGTAATTATGAATTTTGCTGCTACGTATAGTTATGTCCATATAAAAAAATGTATATTCAAATTGAATTTTAAAATGTTACATTTTACTGCTCATGCAAAGAGATTTGCTGTAATAAATAATTATTGAATGAATTTAAATATATAATTAAATTTTTTACCACTTTTGCTTTCCTCAACTAAATACGACTCTAATTAAAATGATAAGTCGCTTATTTAATTGAAGCAACACATAAAACACCGCCTCTTTAATAAAAAAATAAAAAAACAAACAATATTTGGGAATATATATAATTATTATTTTTCTTTTTAAAGAATAATGATATACAGTAAAGGATTCCGTAAATATAATGTGAAGCGTGGGAAATTAATTTTTATTGAAAACTTTTTCTTAGTGTGTCAATTGCTTTAAATGCAGCGCAGTTGTCTAAAATAAAGCATAATGTGCAATCTCTATAAAATTTCATTTAAAAATTACCAACTTTATTTGAAAGCGCGCGAAAAAGCTTCAGCATCGCCAAGCTTTGCAACATTTAGTAACGTTAGCAACAAGCGAACGCAACAAATACTGCTGAGCTTGTTGCCAAGCATGTGGAATAGCCGCCGGCAACATAGCCGGCAATTTGCATGCCAAAACAGAAACAACAGATCCAAACACAACATGTGCGCTGCCGCTATGTGGGCGCGAAAGAGCGCCAAAGTTGCGAGAGAATGTTGTGATGAGAGCGAGCATAGCAACATTTATGCAGCATCATGTTGGGGCCGTCGCCACATCGCAAACAGCGGCATTTTGCTTGTTGCCTTTGCCTTTGCCATTGCTTCTTGCGAAACCGTTGCTTGCTGCTGCCAGTCGCATACTTACACTCGTATCAGCCAAACGTGCGCGCGGCTTCGAGCCACAACAACAGTTATAATACATAGTACTACATAAAAGATAACAGCACCAAACTAAATCGAATTTACTTGCTAAAAACGAAAATAATTCTTACCAACGAACTCGACAAGTGCATTTTGACAGCCGGTATAATATCTGGCATTATACCTACCATATCTCAATCCAATTTCCTCAACTCTTACCTACGCTCGAGTCCAGTTTCCGCGTGCGGCTTCTTCACGCTGACGCTGAGGCTGACGTCGTTGTGCGCCAATTTTTGTCTAATTTGTGTGCTCAGCGCGTGCAGTAAAGTTGGGAGTCTATGCTAATTGGCCTGATCTAGCGCTAAAATAAATATCTGGTTTCGGCATTTATTTACCTTACCGTGTGCTTCTAAATTCTGTATGTTTAAGTTGTGTTATCTCGAATTCTCGCCGGTCTGCAAATAAATTTGACAACAATTTGTGGTGCACGCAAGAATAAGAGGAGAGAAACACCGACTGTGGGAAAAGAAAAAGTGCAAGTGTTGTTATACAAAAATTTATTTTGAATTTCATTCACATAATTGCTGACTCTTCGAATTTTGTGGAATTGCAAAAACAAAAGGTAAGTGGTACAATGAAAAAATTAAAGCAAAATACGCTTACATGTATAAATTAATAAGCAGCAACAGAATTGGAAGTGATGTCAAATGTTGCAAATGACATAAAATCATGACATCATATGAAATATCGCAGAAACTGAGTTATGCATCCATATTACAGTTCTTAATAAAATAATTGATATCAAATGTAAATGCAGAAGAAATACATTGATTTGAAGTTGTGTTTTTAATAGAAATGTATTATGAAAATTAAATGAGAACAATAGCAAAAGGCTGTTCTTGAAAAATAGAAGCATTCTAAAAAAAAAGGGAAACGAAATCAATTTTTAAAACCGGATATCAACATAGAAGAATCGAAATAAATATAGTTTAAGTGCAAATGTTGGTAAAGTAATTAACAGATAAATATCTCCAGTCGAGACCAATTCAGTGATTAAAGATGGCAAAATACTTAATTATGAATTGTCTTATTGAAAAGGGCTACCTTCATAGCGTACATTTTGAATATTTTCTACAGTCAAAATATAAAAATTATATTTAATAGAACTATACTACTATATTTCTAAAAGCATTATAAATTTCTGTGCTAACTTTTGGGTTCTTACCCCATTTATAAACACAATAATTACAATTACATATATTTCACAATTAGGAGCTTAAATAGGACTTAAAATTCATTAAAAACTAACTAATTCCCAACTACAACATGTAGTAATATTAATTATAATATCAAATAAATAAGTTAAAACAAAATCAAGTGACATTAAGATTACTATTTTAGTGTCTTGAAACAATAAATTCAAATTACAAAGATATATAAAAATTAAGAAAAAAAGTATAATTTTAATTACTTGGCAGACATTGTGAATTAATAAACTCCCCCAACTGGTTTGCTTTTACAAATTGAATGCCTGAAAATAAATATAAGCCTTCACACATCATAGAAGAGAATATTCGGGAATATTTCCTTTGCAACAGAGGCCGGCTTAGAAACTTCCTAGTTTTATTAGCGTGTGTTGATGTTAACAGCCTCGTCTATTTATTTGTTTAAGAGTTTTGTACACACCTCACCATGGATCCCTGAGTCATGGTGCCAGAACAAGATCAGAAATGGTGCACAAGTAATATACAATTGGTGGACCGTTTTGACATACGGAACTTGTACCCAGACGCTTAAATTCAACTGGCCCTGAAATAAAAGCTTAAGAAAATGCATCGATTTTAGCAATAAATTTGTCTATTTTCGCAAACTTCATAAATATGAATGTTCAAAATTTAGCTTAGGAGCTCGGCTGCCCAACATTTTAATCAAATCTGCGACTTGCCTGAATTACAACTTGGTTGACATCGACCATATACTACTGTGGGCCAAGGCCTTTAGCCCCATTCTGCCTTTCTCCTCCCGCTGCCTTTTCTTGTTGCTGTCCTTTTGACTCGTTGGTTGCTCACTTTGCCACTTGCTGGCCTTTTTCATATGTATGTATCTTCGTAGAGCTCATTGTTAACAAAACTGAAGATTTATGGGAGCAGATTAGCTCGTCAACAAAGGGCTAAAGGACACACAATGTTCCGGCGCACTCTCCACTTCATTTCGCTCCGGTTGCGGACGCGCCTTTATTGTATGTACGTCTATGTACTTAAACGAGTAGTGTATGGCAAAATCCGCTTATTAATGAGCTGTCAGTGTAGCATAAAGATGACACAACAGTCGAGATGATGAGACTAGACTAGATCCTAAGGATAGCCGCTCGAAAGTCGTCGCTTTTCCATTCGATGCGCTCATCAATTAACGTTAATGTCGGACGACTGGGCGAGCGGGCGGACGGGCAGGTGGCAAGTGGAGTGTCCTTGCCACACTTTTGTCAATCAAAGAGCATACAAAAATTGTTAAGTAGTTGTCGTTGTTGCTGTTGTTGGCTGTGCAAATGCATTTTATATTCATACTCGTAAGTCGAAAGCCGAGGTGTGCGGCCAAAGTCGGCACTAAGCGCGTGAAGGCGCGTCAGCGTCGTTCAAGAGTAGGTAGTAAAAATCGTTAAAATCGATTTAGCTGGCGTGCTGCTCCAAAAAAAAAAAAAAAAATAAAAATGAGAAAACTACCAAGCCAAAGCAAAAACTGAATGACCTTCAACAATGCGAAGATTAAGCGTGAAGAAAAGTGAGTCTCATACAACAGCGTACGTTATTTTGGACCATAAATAAAATTGTTTGCAGCCCTCCTCCAATCCCCACAAGCCCCCCTTAGCCACGCCCTCGTACACACACTCCAATTGGCAACTCAGGTGCTTCAAAGCATGAGACGCGCCCAGCGGAGCGCATATATTTAGACATTTAGCAGCACACTAAAAATAAATTTTGGTAAAAAGAAGAAAGAATACCTGCATACCTACATACTTGTACATACTATAGGAGTATAGAACCCCAAATAAATGTTGAAACACACGAAATCCGCAAAAGCATCGCCAAATATACAAACACACACACTACTTACTATACACACCCAAACACTCACAGACAGTTTCGTCCAACTCAGGATATCATAAAAATGCCAAATGTGCAAAAAAGGTACAAGAACAAGCAGAGAAAAAAGCACCAAATAGACTGAGCGGCGCATTAACAAAAATAAAAAATAAAATGGCAAAAAGAAGGCAAGAAAGAAAGCTGAAAGCCAGAAGACAATATCACAATGAAGCAATAGAACCGACCGGCAAACTGCGTGGAATGACGGGCAGGGCTCTGCAATGTTTCGTTGAGAGCATAAAAATAAAAATGAAATAAAATGGCATAAAAAATGCAACAGCACATACACACATACACATAGTACACTCACACGCATACATCCATGCATCGAGAGGAGGCGGCAGAGCAGCAGAGGACGTTGAAGGAATTTTCACGGAAAATCGCACGCGCTTCAAAATGCTGGCTTGGTTTTTTATATTTTTGGTGTTGCTGCGCAGTGAATAAAACTGCACTGCAATCGAAGATCGCAAGGGAAGTCCACTTAGAGAAAAGATAAGCATGTGTTAGGCGATTGGGAGATTCTCAAACTGAATAGAAATTGTTTCACCATAACGGTTCCAATTAAATATGACAAGAAGTGTTGACTAAAAGTTGTTAAGAGCCAGAACTGCGATAAAGATGTGCTATAAATAAAAAGAAATAGACTGGAAGATAAGCCACTCTATTTTTGAAAACATTATTAATATTTTTGTATTACGGAGAATACTTGTTGCTTATAATTTAATTTATAACAATGATATTTATTCAAGTTTAAATTAATAAATATTGAAAATCAAAGTAATGCAAAATATGATTGGTTAAATGGGTATTGTTTCACATTTTTACTTTGAAGATATAATATGTTAAGTAGCTTGCCTTATATGATAGAGTATCGTTCTTGACCCTCTTGAATTGAGGGAATGAAGAAAGCTGTAAATGAAGGAAATAGGAAATATTTTTATTAGTTCTAGTTCCTTTTTGTAACATCTCTTTCCGTATGCAACGGACACATAGTGGCAAGTACACGTTAATAATGAAAGCCTGTCAGGCTTGTTTCGGTTTATTACAATCTGCTGGAGATAATGTGTTTGGAAAGGAACTATTTGTCGGTTTTTAAATACACTTCAAATCATCTGAAACGTTTCTAATTTCTAAAAAATCATATTTAACATCTTTAAATGAAGCTATTGAACTGTATTGCCAAATGCATTTTCTCTGAGTGTTTGTCACACTCATGACATTATCCTTTGCCCCAATGCCAGCAGCAATTGAAACAGCCATGGGCTTGCCATTGCTTGGGCTGGCCCTTGGCAGAAGAATTCAGATTTGCAAACGAATTTTAAATGAGCAGCCCAACCCACCACTCCCACAAAGAGGCAGGCAGTGGGCTGGCGGCTGCCTGGTCGTTGTCATTATGCAGCAAATTGGTGGACAGAAAATCGTTCCAGCGCTGACATTGCGGCTTGCCTGAGACCAGTTGACCATTTTTTGTTGTTGTGTGACTACTTTGTCAATATTGTGAAGTTCGCTCAACGGACTTAAATGCTTGGCCAAGGTTAGCACACCAACAATAATAAGAGGGGCAGCCAAAGAAATACATAATGATGGACTGGCAGTAAGGGGCAGCAGGCAAATAGAAATGGAGAAATATAAATTCTATAAAAAGGCCAAAGGAGGAAACACGCGCCACGTTCTGTAGATAAAAGAAGAAGAAGCACAGACTGAATAGAAGGCGAACACGAACATTTTTTCGACTGCTGCATGGCCAGCGCCATTTTCCATGAGCCATTGTGCAGAGGTGTGTTTGTTTGTGTGTGTATGTGTTTGTGTGTGTCTGTATGTGTGTGTTATATTGAAAGTGCGAATGTGCACGGAAGTGGGCACGCAAACTCACACACACAGGCACACACGCTCACACCCACTTCTTCCCCTCTCTCTCTCCTTTTTCTCTCTGTCACACTCTTGGCCAGGCTAGGCAACACATTTTAAACGAAATGCCAGCATGTAGGGTCCTGCCTTGGGGCTTCGGATACATGAAGTTGTCACCATGTCACTGTGTCTATGTGTGGTGTGTCCCCTGCTAACTTAATGAGTAAATACAGTGATAGTTCCAATACCCCAAATACACGATATTTGAACACTAAAGTTGCTTAAAAAGAAGAGGAAACACAAAAGGAAAATAAATCAGCATATCATCATCAACAAAATGTTGCATTAGCAAGCCATTTAATATTTATGTTTATGAAATCTATAATATTGAAAAATATATTTTACTGCACAAGTCTGTATGCTTTTATGTTTCTGAAATCTAATTGATTTATAATCAATATTTCAAGTGTTAATTTTCGCTATAACATAAAATATAAATTTTTTTTAGGGAAGTTACGCGAACTTCTTCTGCCATTAAATTGCATTCAAAATGGTTTTAATAATATTTTTCAAATATGTTGAAAATAAAAAATACTATTGAACTCAAAGCTATTTTTTTTCTAGATTTAAATTA